CAGATTGCCTAGGTTAATCTCAGTTGTTTCACTAATTATATTTTCTTGACAAATAAACCTCTGGTGTCTCAGTTTCTTCATCTATTAAATGGAGATGATAGAAATATCTATGTTATAGTCTTATAATGACTGATCAGTTATGTGATATATGTTAAGTGCTTAGAACAGTGTACAGGAAGAGCTCAATGAAAGTTCATTTTAATTATCCTCTATGACACATGAAGGCAAAATATTTCTCAAAATAAGAATCTCAAAAGGATCAAGCAAAAATTCTATGTGTTTCAACAAAACTTTTATCTCCTTCCCTCATATATTTGCAGCTCAAAATAATCTCCCCTGCAGCCCATGCTGCCACAATTTGAATTTCAAATAAGGGTTGATTCAGGTACTTGAAAATATTCAATCCTGCCCACAGCTCAAACTATATTGAGAGGTATGGAGTATGGTGCTCCACAAAGGAATAATGAAATCACTCTTTTAGTTTCATCCAAAGGTTAAATGCACATGTAGTAGTTATAAGCATACATAGAAATTGCTATTAAATTAAAAACACTAAAACTCCATACTTCACTTCCAGGCCAGAAACTTCACCCTTAAATTAATATTAATGAACACTTGAATTTATGAAAATTTTGTCTGATACAATATCTTAGAGTGGGAAAGGGACATACTAAATATGTCTATCCATCCCTCTAGATTCTTCAAGAGACACTCCTCTATCAGATAAGATCACTCAGAAATTATCTCCATGGAAACCTTTACTTTACTAACAATGCCTTCACAAAACTATGATGCAAAATGTTTCTTTGTAGTAAAAGTTTTTACATAAAAATGGTTTGTAAGAACATTAATTCGACCCTCCATCAAAAAGCTATTGATCCTGTTTAAAAACGTTTCCAGTGTCATTTATATCTTTATAGATAAATGAAATAAGTATCACCGTATGTACATGTTGTACATAGGAATGATTGTTAAAACAAATAATTCCCTACTGATATTTTCTCATGCTAATAACATTAACAGCTGTAATACCTATTAATACTTATGGACCTTTGCTATGCACAGCAGATGTTATGCCAAGTTTTTATATATTTCTATAGGTTTCCTCGAAAAAAAAATAAGTCCTATGATATAGATAAGATTCTTTTTTTTTTTTTTTTTTGGCACGGTACTGGGATTGAACTCAGGATCTTGTACTTGATAGATAAGTGCTCTATGGCTTGAGCCCCTAGCTCTTTTTTGCTCTAGCTATTTTTGAGAGAGGGTCTCACTTTATGCCAGGGCTGACCTGGACTGCTTCCCTCCTGTTTGTGCTTCCCAGTAACTAGGAATGGCAGGCATGTGCCACCTCACCCAGCTATTGATTGACATGCAGGTTTTTTTTTATTTTATTCATATGTGCATACAATGTTTGGGTCAGTTCTCCCCCCTTCCCCCACCCCCTCCCTTACCCCGCCACCCCCTCCCTCTCTCCCCCTACCCCCTCGCTACCAGGCAGAAACTGTTTTGCCCTTATGTCTAATTTTGTTGAAGAGAGAGTTTAGCAATAATAGGAAGGAACAAGGGGTTTTGCTAGTTGAGATAAGGATAGCTATACAGGGAGTTGACTCATATTAATTTCCTGTGCATGTATTACCTTCTAAGTTAATTCTTCTTGAACTAACCTTTTCTCTAGTTCCTGGTCCCCTTTTCCTATTGGCCTCAGTTGCTTTAAAGTATCTGCTTTAGTTTCTCTGCGTTGAGGGCAACAAATGCTATCTAGTTTTTTGGGTGTCTTACCTATCCTCACCCCTCCCTTGTGTGCTCTCGCTTTATCATGTGATCAAAGTCCAATCCCCTTGTTGTGTTTGCCCTTGGTCTAATGTCCACATATGAGGGAGAACATACGACTTTTGGTCTTTTGGGCCAGGCTAACCTCACTCAGAATGATGTTCTCCAATTCCATCCATTTACCTGCGAATGATAACATTTCATTCTTCTTCGTGGCTGCATAAAATTCCATTGTGTATAAATACCACATTTTCTTGATCCGTTAGTCAGTAGTGGGGCATCTTGGCTGTTTCCATAACTTGGCTATTGTGAATAGTGCTGCAATAAACATGAGTGTGCAGGTGCCTCTGGAGTAATCTGTGACATGCAGTTTTGTGAACATTTTGCCTGGGCTGACTTAAACTGTGATCCTCCTTATCTCTGCCTCCCCAAGTAGCTAGGATTAGAAGTATAAGCCATCAGTGTCCACAAAGGTTTTTTTTTTTTTTTTTTGGTGCTACTGGTGTTTTGAACTCGGGGACTTATGCTTGCCTAGGCAGGTGTTCTACCACTTGAGTCACTCCACCAGCCATGTTTTGTGTGTGTTGGGTATTTTCGAGATAGGGTCTCCCTCATTCTATTTGCCTAGGCTAGCCTTGAACTTCTACCCTCCTGATCTCTGCTTCCCTAGTAGCTAACATCACGGGCATGAGCCACTGGTGCCTGGCTCCAGCAAAGATTCTTATAATGATCAGGTAAAAGAAGTAGTTTTAGCTAGACACTGTGGTACATGCCTGTAATCCCAGCACCAAGAGATAAAGAGAGAAATGGAAGGGAAAAGAAGGGAAGGAAAAACAGGAAAGGAAGAGAAGGGAAGGGAAGGAAAAAGATAAGCATTGTGGTCAGAAAGATTAAATACTTTGACCTAGGATTCTGAGATGCAAGGGAAGAAAGAGAAGTACAGTTAATAAAACCCCAAAAGTAGTTTTTTTTAAACTCTAAACAAAAGACTTACTTATTTGAAGGTAAAACTGTTAGTAAAAAGTCATTTTCAATTAAACAAAGCAGAAGCTCCAGAAAGGCAGACCCATCTTTCCTAGGAATCATGTTGGAAATGCCTGTATAGAAATCACTGCTTTTGGAATCCTCTGTTTTCTGTGGTCTCATTGAATAGAACACCCTACTAATGATCATGCATGCATGATAACTCAGAAGAAATCATTTCCTCTATTGGGAAGAATTATTCAGTGATGCTACAAAGGATTAACTATACTGAACCACATCAGTACAGTTTTTAATCCCTATCATTCAACTGGTGTACTATTTGACAGTATATTTGTTAAATAATGGATTTTGATGCTACTAACTGTACATAAAGTCAAAATCCCTTAGAAACATGAGAAAGAGATCAAAAGTTTATGTCCAGAGGTGGGATAGTCTTTGATATTGATATGGTGGAGGAAAACTGCACAACACAAGATGTGTTTAAACAAACTGTCATGATATTACCAAATTAGGTGGTTCAGTCATTTCCCAATAAACCCAAGGATTCTGTGAGTACTGACAGTTTCAAAATACTCAGAATCTACAATGAGTCAAATGCCATGGGTGTCTTTCATGACATGTACAAGAATTTTGTATCATAGGAAATTGTGACAATTGAGGTAACACTTTTGATATGTCTAGCCTCTTCATTGCAGATCAAAACTTTAAAGGCATTCCACAACAAGACACATCTACTTATCTACTCATTTTGAGAATATTGACAAAATACTGACTCATCATTCTCATGGCTGAGTGCAAAGTCAATCATAAGCAGGCATCAGAAAGGACCAAAATGCCGTCCTTTGTGAGCTCCATCTTCTAGACCCCAGCCTGCTAGGGATTATCTCCTTCTATCTCTCTATGGATGTATCATTTAAAGAATAAAAAGTGGACAGTCTGTGATCTATAGAGATGGTTCTTTGGGCTGGTGGAGTGGCACAAGCAGTATGAGTGCCTGCCTAGCAAGTGCATAGCCCTGAGTTCAAACCCCAGTCAGTGCCACCAAAAAAGAAAATATACAGATGGCTTTTTGATCCATAACATTGTCTGGTTGTTGGTACAATGACCTTCAGAAACTCCTAGAGAGTTTATTTAATGACAAATAATTACAGAAAAGTAATAACCTGAATGAGACTATTACTTATATAATTATCTAGGTGACTTATCTCAGGACCCTTATGAAAATATTCAGATTTTTCTGTTCTTTAATGTCATACTTTTTCTTGGTACTGAATTCATACCAAACAGGAACAAATTTGTGTACTCAGACTTTCAGGGATGAGAAAACAATGACCTCAGAGGACTACATACTTGGAAAGATTGTGCCCACAGATAGCTCTTCAATGTGGTATTGCTAAGGAGGAAGGACATTGCATAAATGTCAAGAGGATTCTCAGTAGATCTGCTGTTGACACAGTGTCCTCCCATATATGGTGATATAATCCTATCACCATAAAATTATGTCAAAAAAGAAAGGGGTCCCATCTAGAGTGAGGCCAAGAGGTTTCTGGGAGTAAAGTTCCTCCCCATGAGATGAATGAGAGATGTCAGAAATTACTAACTTGCACAGATCAACAGGAGCTGAAGGACTAAAACTTATAAATTAGTCTGTTTAGGAGCAGTTTAGAAGTCATGTGTTGGGCTGTTATATATGAAGATTTCTAATCATTAGAAAATGATAAGTTCCAATCTGTCAATTAAATATAAAGTATATTGAAAGTAATTTTAAAATAGTGAGCAAGTTTTTAAGAGTTAATATATGCTACTGCAGTTTTACTATGTAAAGTCACCTGCAAGTCACAGGTGAAAAAATACTACAATATTTGCATGGGTGACTGAAGAGAAATCCTCTGGACAGGAAAAGAGCAAGAGAGAGAAACAGTGGAGAAGGCAAGAGGTCCTTAGGGAAAAGAAACAAAAATAAAAGACAAAATCAAGCTTATATATGCATCACAAGATTTCCCCAGGCCACCTTTTCTTTTCAAGTTATACAATTTGAATCATAAATCAACTGAGTCTAGTCTGTATTTCAATTATTTTTAAATTATTGATAAAAAGTTTCACTTATGTTCTCCCTAGGAAATTCTACTGGATTTCAGCTGTTTCTCAATTCTAGACATTAGCATTTTGTGAAAAAGCTTATTATTATACATAGACAGGAAAACTGAGAAAACATTGCTAATCAAGGTGAAAAATAATTTACTTACAATTATCCGATATTTTTGAAGAGAAATATTCAAAAAGGCTTAAAATACTTGCTTCCTGTAATTCTGCCTGCTCTTCTGAAGTGCTCATGAGTGAATTTTTTTTTCGTGAACTTTTACAGTCACAGAATCCAATAAAAGCAGTTTTTCGCAAATCAGAAGTGACTGCATACAAGCAGATTTCTGCAATGATTGTTGTGTATGTATAGACTATAATCCAGTACCAGGAAAAATCATGTACGTTGCAACATTCTCCCTGAAAAAGGAAAATAGGCATTATATAATCAAGTACATTTTGTCATAATTAAAAACTATATCATATACTTAAAATAAAAAAAACTGTCTTCAATACCAGACATGGTTGTTCATGCTATACCAGCTACTGGGGAGGTGGGGGTAGGAGGATTGTGATTTGTGCAAAAAACTGTGAGACTGTACTTGAAAAACTAAAACAAAAAAGGCTGAAAGTGTGGCTCAAGTGATAGAGAAGAAAGAAGGAAGGAAGGGAGAAAGAAAGGAAGGAAGAAGGAAGGAGGAACGAAAGAAGGAAGGAAGGAGGGAAGGAAGGAAGAAGGAAGGGAAGGGACAATTTTTTTCAGTTTCTTTTAGTGGGCTGTAAATTAATCCAATGGAATATTACTTTTTATATTACATAGCAAAATAATCTTTTCTAGTGTGTGGTACTTTTATGTGTATATATATATATATATATATATATATGCCCAAATTCTTCTCCAAAGGATGTCATTTTTTAATATTCCTATGACATATGTGTATACACATATAAAAAATATAAAAATATATGTGTATACACATATAAAAATATTAAAAAATGACATCCTTTGGAGAAGAATTTGGGCATCTGTCCCAAAAAATCTAAGTAATTTAATTTTAGTAACTTATTCCAAAGAAATAATCAGAAATGTAGATAAATTTTTATGAAGAGAATGGCAATTGAACATTACAAAATTTTCATTAGCTGTGAGCAAAAGGGTTAAATAATCTCACTTCCACAAAAATATAACTTTTTTGTCAGCTTTGGTGTTTGAACTCAGAGCTTTGAACTTGCTAAGCAAGGTCTCTGCCACTTGAGCCATGCCCCCAGTCTTTTTTGCTTTGGTTGTTTTTAAGATTGGGTCTTTTGGTTTTCCACTGATGGTTCCGGGCCGTGATTTTTCTACTTATGCTTCTCACAGAGTTGGCATGGCAGCTTTTTTTGTTGAGAGTGGGGTCTTGCTAGCCTTTTGTCGAGGCTGACCTTGAACCCTGATCCTTCCTGAGGGTAGGAAGAATTACCTGAGTAGCTAGAATTACAGGTGTGCCCCACCATGGCCAGCCTAAATTTTAATAATAAGTAATGACAATGAAAAATAGTTGTGGTAAATACTATTTGTATACACATTCATTTTTATATTTAATTAAAATCCATATTACAAATGTTATACAATTATATTCGCTAACATAATATGCAATTTAAATAATGACAAAGTGGAATATATTTCCATCCAAGTCTCTCTTTTTTTTAACATATTAATAATGTGTTACCTGAATCTGAATGGACAAAATGCTTGAAAGAAAATCTGTCACTAGGTCCATTAAAGTTTTCAAGCAGGCCATGTTTAATTTGGCAGCCTCCCCAATGACCAACAAAGCCAATGCTGAATCCAACCTGAATTGTAAACAAATGATAAAGACTTTAATAGGAAAATAATAACAATTAGTTGTTTAGGGAAAACAGTAACAGGCCAGAGGAAATGAATGTATGGATTCCCAGAAATGCTTGTGATTGGTTGTCACTGACTACAAGGCTACAAGAAAGAGCAACATTTTGACAAGGTGTATGAGGATGAAATAATGGGTGCTCTGACAATACTCTGAGAGTAATAAATGATACAAACTATTGAATTTTCTCAGAGATCCTGTATGAGGAGCAACCAAGGTCTCTGGGTTTATAGCGTACACTCAAAACTTCATAAAAGGTTTTGATTTTTAACTTTTTGCACCTGATTCCATGGGGTGAATTTCTGGAGAGTGTTGTCTTCTCAAAATAGAGAACAAATAACAAATTGTATTACTATGCCCTCCAAAATTTCAACATTATTAGATTTTTGTAAAAAGTACAATTTTTCAAAATAAAACATACTGACATATATTAGTTTTCAATATACTACACAGTAACTGAAAATTCAGAACAGGTATAAATGTTCGTATATTCTGAGATTTTTAGGAAATTATACAGGTAGTGTTATTTGTACTCAATTGAAAGAGATGCTGTTTGAAAGAAAATGGATAAGAATGAAAAAGGAAAATTCCCTAGGAATAGAGCTTTCTATTTCCTTGATTTATAGATAATAAAAATTTGTATATTTTAGAAGTATATTTGGATTTTACAACTGTGGTATTTCAGGACAGAAAGTTCATCATAGTTTTCAAAAGGAAACATCTCTGATTATGAGTGTTATAGACAATTCTATATATTTGAATGGAGCTTTACAGATCTCAATGTGCTTTAACACAAATTATCTTATTGGATCTGAGTTTTGACTATTTGGGATGCATCCAAGACTTTTCAAAACCCTTTGTAATCTTAGGACGTTGAGACATAAATAAGCCTGAGGGATGTGTGCATGCTTTTTGAGATCAGTTAACTGTAACTAAAGTCTTCCCTGACATACAGGTATTTCTTATCTTGCAATTCTTGTCTTCAATATCATCACTTAATTGCCTCAATATTAAACCTCAGTGTGACTGGTCTTGACTACTGCCTATCTAACAGAACCAAATTTCCTTCAAGACAGCAAAATCTCAGCTCAGTTTGCCTTCTCAGGATGGGAGTGTTCTGTATCTTGATTGGAGTAGTGAATACATGAGTGTAGTATTTATCAAAATCATAGATGTGTATACACAAAAAATGAGAATGTTATTGCATCTAAATTATATATTGGTAAATTTGATTTAAAATTAACTCCCCAAATTTCCCTAAAGCTTAGATGTACCATATAATGTAAGTTTTCTCAATGAAATATGAATGTGAGTATATTATGAAAAACATCTAGGTGAGTTATTATTTTTCTGATTAAGAAAAAAAATTTTTTAATTGGCAGTGCTGATGTTTGAACTCAGGGTGTTGTACTTGCTAAGCAGCTGCTATAGTCCTTAAGCCACACCCTCAGCCCTTTCTGCTTTCATTATTTTTGGATAGTGTCTCCTCTTTATTCCTGAGCCCCTGTGGACCACAATGCTCCTACTTACACTTCCCAACAGCTGGAATGACAGGTGCATGCCATTGCACCAAGCTTTTTATAGGCTGAGATAGGGTCTCACTAACTTTTTGTGGGGGCTGGCCTTCAACCTCCGTCCTTCCAATCTCTCCCTCCCAAGTAACTAGAATTACAGGTGTGAGTCATCATGCATGGCTTAAATTTATATAGCATATTTTTTTCTGCTTTGGTCATCCTTTTCTTTCTGCTTAGAATGGATACTTGATACCAGAAGGCAGAACTTCCATCGTGCAACAATGGTGATGAAAAATTGCCTGCAATGGATGGATGGCAGAAAAGGAAGCCGGAAGGAGCTCGGCTCTTGGGGATTCCTTAACCCTGACATTTCTTGTCATGTACAACAAATAAAGTCATGTTTGGTTATATAAGTATAGTTGGATTTCTGTCATATGGCAGAAGACCAAGTCTTAACTAATACACTTACCATAGAGTGTATAAGATGAACTTTAGAGTCAGAAAATTTGCAACAGAATCCTAGCTCTGCTACTAATTAAGTATATGATGACAAATGATGTACCTACCTCAGTCTTAATTTACTTATGTGTGCAAAGTAAATATAGCAAAATCTACCTCTCAGAGCCTGTCATCAGAGTTAAATAAAATACCCTATCTAGAATGACTAGATTCAAAATGCAAAATTGAACAGAAGTACTATTTTTCAAAGTTAAAAGATAGGGGTTTGATAACTTCCTTTTCTCTATGAAGTCTCAGAGTGACTGAAAGAAGAGATGTAGAAGATCTCCAAAATGGACAGTAAATCAATCCCAAGTATTTACCATGTTTCATAATGTGGCCAAGTAAAAGAGAGGTAGCAGCAGAATTTATAAAACCTCTCCTCCCCTGATATATCTCATTATTATGAGGTGGTAGTTTTTCTGTTCTCTTTTATGTTTCTCTGTTCTCTTTTATATCTGGAAAATTTTGCCTAACCTAGGGCACACTCACTGATCTACAAATTGAAAAAAATTATCAGTGTCAGCTACCTATGGTAGAAAAATGCTTCACCAGAAACACACTATCATAAATCATGCTGTTGACTGCAAAATTTTCCAACTTAAAATGCCTCTGCCAAAAATAGAATAGAAACATTGATACTTAGATACTTTGTTAAAAGACAAAACTGAAAAATCAATGCATGTAGAAAGAACTCAAGTTGAATTAGGCTAGAAATTTTAACACAGCACTACCTTCTTTCCAAACTTGTTATAATACAGAAAATCTCAATTATAAGTAGATGGACTTGGTTTTACAATGTCACATAGTTAAACATGTACAAAGCAATTGTTTATTATATTATATTATATATATTCTCTGATTGTATCATAAAGAAAGTGGTCCAGAGGTCACTGGCATGTCTAAATTAGTCATAGTAATAATATGTATTTCATACACACACATTTAAAAAGAAGTTAGGAACATCAAAGACCCGAAGTTTTCATAGGTTTTCTTTACTCCTCTATTTATATTTCCTCAATGAGCCAGTTGTCATTTTTAAAAATAGAATTAACCCTTATTCAATTTATTCCAATCTCATAATAGGTATTTAAGAGACATTGGCAATATCAAAATTCACACAACCTTGAACACTAACAATGGCAGAGAGTTACTAAGTCATCAATTTACAGGCACAGTACAAATCACAAAATTGATGGAGCTGGATTAGCAGAAACAGAGATGAGCTTCCTCACACACATCCTGAAACACAACAGCCTTGTTTCCCCAAAGAAAGTTAAAAGAAAAGAATTCGAGGAAAGTAATCCCATCTGTGTACACTATTTTTCATAGCATCAGAAAAAATATCGCCAATTCTTCACCTGGAGGTACTTGTTTTTTAAGTGTCCAGAGTACTAATTCTATACTTCATCTCTTCATATTTCTTCTGAGATGACACATCCAGATGTTAGAAAGTATAGAAAGCAGTGCTTACAGAGATATGGGCTGAAAGCAAGGAGGAAGAGAAGTGATATAATTGTAATACAGGAGCATATTTTCTCTGCATGGGTAAACTACCAAAGATTAAGGAGCATACAGGAAGCTCCCTGATAATCATACATGCTAATGTTGTAGCATTTAATAACTTTAAAACAATGCATGCAAAAAAGCACAATTTTAAGCCCTGTGATCTGTTAATCTTAGCTAGTGCTATGATCCCAGCACTCAGGAGACGAGCAGGAGGATAGCAAGTTCCAGGTTACTATGGGCAATATAACAGACCCAGTCTCATAAACCAGACAACAAACAAAAACAAAACACATACAGTTTTAACATCTGTGAACACAAACTTCTATTTAAAACTACCTCGTTTTAATATTTTTCTTCTAGTTCTAGTATAAGTAAAATGAAATGTGAAAGAGCTGGGGGTTCCTTGGGACCAATGAAAACAGGTATTATAGCAAGGGCTTAAGAGAATATCCATCTGAACACTCAGAGAAGATCACAATTCTTAAAAGGATTTCTCACAGGAACCAGAAGGTACTTTTACGAGCTCTTAAGTATCTTTTATAAAGTTCAGGACACTGGCTTTTGTCTTCCTCCTGAAGAGAGCCTTGGTGAAAAGCCCTGATTCTTAGATGATGTAATAAAGTACGATAAGAGATTGCAAGGGAATTAAAGTTACAATATACAACTCAAGTCCATAGCAGAGGAAGTTAACTACTGAAGTGGCACATGGAAGAAAGCAAACTTGAAAAGTTTTTCCACAATTTACAGGAAAAGCTGGCAAACTTAGACCAATTTCTATTTAAATGGACAAGAAATTCAGAAGTGTGTTTGTAGAACTACTAAAAAGAGAAAAGAAGGAAGGGAGGAAGAAAAGAAGGCAGGGAGGGAAGAGGGGAGAAGTGGGAACAGAAGAAAAGAACTGTAACTACAATGAATTTAGGGATCTGAAGGTAAGCTCAGTGGTAGAGTGCTTGCTTGGCTAGCATGCAAGAGGCTCTAGTTTTAATACCCAGCTCTGCACAAAAGGAAAAAAAATAATTTTGTGAAGAAAAAGGAATCTAACCAAAGGAAAACCTTTCCAATATCAAGAGGTCCAAAATTTAATGTAGGCATCCATGAAAAAATATGTGGGTTTTTCTACCATAATCTAAGAAAAACACTGAACACAGAGAGGCAGGAGTTGGGAACACATGTGAATTATGATTAGTCAATGGAAAGTCTTCAGAAAAGGTAGACTCATAGAAATGGTATTTGTGCACAGTTTCACAGAGAGGAGACTTCTCTCCAGGTAAAGCAGAGGATTTGTCTCTCTAGACTCCTGACATAATCAGTGAAACCAGAGAGAGTGCCGGCCAACTCCTACCTACCAAGTCTCAGAGGTATTCCTAAAATGTCCTAGACTGAGAATTAAGAAGAAAAGAGAAAAGCTAGTTTTGAATCTCTCATC